GGGGGGGATGGGATGCTGCGTGATTTGTAATCAGCTGTTGCACCGGAAGTGAACTGGTATGACGCATGCAGGGCAGACATGACGCGTGCCAGGCAGACACGATTTAGACCGATATCTCGCGTGCAAAACGTCTGTAATCAAACAGTTTCATATATGTTTGCTTTTGATGATTTTTTTAATATTTCTTAATGTTATGACGTTATTGATTTTTTTTTCGCTTTTTACTGTGAATATTCCATGAACTATTATTTACAACAAATTAATATTTTTAACTGTAATGTTTAAAAAAAATCTGAACTGTACACTATGGAAAGCTACATCCATGCTTGTTTTTTCTCAATTTCCTAAAAAGCAGTTTCGTGTTTCTACATTTTTTTTCTTTAACATTTACATAAGATTATCACAAAAAAATAATAAAACATTTTTTGTGTGATAAAAAACCGAATGGAGTTTTCTTGTTCATAGAGGAACCTTGAACTTTGCTATAAATCTGTATTTGCTTTTGCTCTTCTTTGATTTTGTATTTTTGGTCCATACAAAGAGGAGTAACTCCGCAAACCTTAAAATGTTGGGACTACATTCTCCATAACTTATTATACGAGTACAGCTAAAATAACAAACAATGACATAAAATTGGAGGAAAAATCCATCTTAGCAGTGCTTTATTGTATGTTTTCCCTGTTGTTGTCCTGTAGCTGGCGAAGGTTTGGTTCCAATCATATATTTAGCCGAACATTCAAATTTAATCAAGTATATTAGAATAATAAAATATTTGTTTCATTTTTATTCGCTATGAAATACATCAGAGTTAATACACACAAGTGGTATATGAAGTACAAACTGAAATTAGGGGATGAAATGGTCGCTACATGTAGCAGTAATATAACCACGTGTAGCTATTTTAAAACCCCGCAGCTTTGCATAAGAATTTGTTAACTTTTAACATTTTATGAGTTCTGTGAATTCTGTAGATCCTATCTTTGAACTTTGATACTTTCAGTAATAACTTGGGTTGTTTGCACAAAAGTTTTCCATCTGACGCACGTGCTGAAGATAGGCAGCTGACTTATAGATCTGTAGGATATCACAGTGTCTGGTGTCTGGTTCTGTCCGTCTATCTCTCGGGACAATCTACCCCAGCACATGCTCCTATATATATAGTTACTGTATATTTTATACAAAACACACCAGACCAACTTAAAGTCTAAAAAAAATTGAGACGAGACTTGCACAACGTTAACGAATGCATGTAGTATTTCACATGTTCGTTATTAGTTTCATTTCCCAAAGCTTTGACGATTCGACGCGTTTTTCATTATAGCGCAGGCTACCAACGTCGCTCCCTATCCCTATCTACCTCAGCAGTTCATATTTTATTAGATTGATTTGTGTTTTGTACAACACTGCGATAGTTACAACCTGAAGTTTAACCTAAAAACTCGTTTAATAGTCATGAGATACTCGCCAAAAATGAGACACGTGGGAAAGATGGTAGCATGATTTCTAATGTTTTGACCCGCTTTCTCCATCATAAAACACGATACATTTACCACTCGTTATCTACTTCAAGATTACCTTAGCATGAAATGATTATGACAGATGGTTATAAATAAGATTTGATTACGGCCTGTCATTGTTGGTAAGTTTTCATCTTCCGTACGTAGATTTCAACCCGTACATTGGTCTGTGGGTCATATTACATGTACCACGGAATAAGATTTTGCTATCGAAGTCCGTGATATGACCAACTAGCTAATACATTATCTAGCTAATAATATATATATAATTTATAATAAAAAATGTATTTTTGCTCTTTATAAAAAAAATACGCGTGGATGTAGTCTCAGGAAATTAGGTATTTTTTTCGCCGATTCTCTTATCAAACATGTACAGTGATCATAAGCTATGTATACTTTAAATATACGGGTTTCAGTAATAAGGCCACAACTTAACAATCCGGTTGTCCCGCTACATGCTAAGGGGACAGGTTGGGTTTTCTTTCCTCATATTAAGTTGTTTTCTCTGTAATCCTGATGTCTTATAATCCAGCTATTTTTGTTGGGAACAAAGATAACAGGATTATCGAGACTTCACTATAACTCTTTGATGTTCCCTAAATACGTGACACAATTATCTGTGTCGATACCAGACCAACAAGTTCGTTTTTTAGCTCACCTGCCCCGAAGGGCCAAGTGAGCTTATGGTATGGTGCGGCGTCCGTCGTCCGTCCGGCGTCAACTTTTTACTTTAAACAATTTCTTCTCAATAACCCAAAGCACCAGGGTACTGATATTGGGCCTGTAGCATGCTGGGATGAAGGGCTACCAAGTTTGTTCAAATGAATGACCCTGACCAACTTTCAAGGTCACAGGGGTCAAATGTCTTAAAATCTTCAAACGACTTCTTCTCAATAACGAAAAGGCCCATGGTACTGATATTGGGCCTGTAGGATGCTGGGATAAAGGGCTACCAAGTTTGTTCAAATAATGACATTTACTCACTTAAAAGGTCACAGGGATCAAATGTCGTAAAATATTAAAACAACTTCTTCTCAATAAGCAAAAGGCCAAGGGTGTTGATATTTGGCCATTAACATGCTGGGTTGAAGGACTACCAAGTTTGTTCAAATGAATGACCTTGACCCACTTTCAACCTAATGTCCTTGTTTGACATTTAATGTCACATACGTCACATGTTTAAATCTTTTAAAAGGTTCTTATGAATCAAACACTGATATTCTGCCTTTAGCTGTATTTTAGTCCACTTTTAAGATTACAAGTGTGAGATTTAAACCAGGTGAGCGATGCAGGCCCATTGGGCTTCTTGTTTAACTAAAGATCTGCCGCTATGATTACTAAATTTAAACTAAAACCAAGTGCCTGTGTATGTAGGTTATTGATTAAGATTGCAAACCTTTGCCACGTGTTTACATAGAGACACAGCTGTAACGGTATGATCCATAAAACTTACAATCATGTCAGTCTTCCCCGAAGGCGGGCCACAGTAAGACACGAAATCGTGGCGGATATTGCAGATTTGTTTATTGACAAATTAAGCTGAGAGGCTTCAAAGCTGTTGACAATTAAGTATCTGTAGCTTTAAGGAAAACGCTTTTAAAGATGAGAGAGAGAGAGAAAACGCTTTTAAAGATGAGAGAGAGAGAGAGAGAGAGAGAGA